CCAGCAGCAATGACCATTAAATTAGCAGAAAGATAGAATATCAGATAGCTTCCGAACCCGTAAATGTGTTGTCAGCGTAGAAAACCATAGATCAACGATTACTTATGATAGAATAGCAAAGCAGAAATAGTCCAGAACTCCAAGTTGGGAATACAGAATGTTACGAATAACATGTCGAATTGACGGCAGTCAACCAGTCATTGTAGTTCCATTAGAAAAGCAGAAACGCAAACACCATGCATATGCAGCTGTATACTGAAAAACATGTGAACATTTAGTCTGTACTTATCTAGCGTACTCAAAAAGCTGATGTGACCCATGGATGTCACCTCAAGTGAGCATCTAAATTCACTGCTTCTTCGCCATGCAAGTGAAGAGTAGGAAAGTATAAAGCGATTACAAACTCATGGAGTTTCGTCAAATCTGGAAAAAGATCGGAATCACAAAAAGATGGGCTAGCAAACTTACTTAATCGGATCCTAAACTTCTAAGTTATTGTCCTCTCAGGGTCAGACTTACGTCAATGACGCATCTGTAGTGGAAAACCGCAGAAGTGATGAAGGAACTAAGAACAATAACAATAAGGAGAAAAGTAAAGGCGAGCTCGGCACTTAGCAGGTTCATCCACGCCATGTTTGAATTTATTTTCCTACTGTACGTGCATTGTGCGCTTCCCGAGTTTTTGCACAGTGGAACGGCCGCCGGCCGGCACGAATTTTCGCCCGCTCGCCGGTCGGTCTTTAGCCCCACCCCTAAAGTTGGCGCGGCCGCCGGCCCGAAGGCCGTCGTCGGCAGGTCGCCGGCCGGTGCGAGTGACTGAGTATGTTCCTTTTCTAGTGGCATCCCGATTTTCGCGTTAAAGTCGCTCACAACACTTGTAAAAGGACCTCCCGTTGCGGACGACCTTCTCCACGTCTTCGTAGAAAGCATCTAGTTGTGAGTCTTTAGCTGCTGATATTGGTAGCATTTGAATGATGCTGATGGTCTTCTGACGTGGAGGTCGTAGTTGTAGGAAAGCTATCCGAGGTGGCATCTCGTGAGAATCGACAAGAGGACGATGGGTGGACGACAAAACCAACGCCTTCAACGTTTCGTGATGGAACATGTTCACCACGAATTATGAGGTCCCATCACCCATCTGTCGCACGTCCTCCTTCCTGACTTCGTTTCCTGCAGAGTGATGATGTTGTACTTGATGTGCTCTGCAGCGTCGAGAAGAGCGTGGAGGTCGGCGTTTGTGGAGACTGTCCTGGCGTTGTGGGTGCAGAGCACGAGGCAATCTTCATGGCGCGTCGTCCGGGCAGACTGATCTTTGTCCAATCCAAAAGGCGCTCTGAGGACCCTGACATCGTTCTTGCTACTACGCGTCGCCCTAGGCGGGATCCGATATGCGGGGTTTATTTCTCCTCTTTTTGCTGATCTAATAAAAAATTTTCCTTCTAGAAGAACAACCTTACTAGCAGCCTTACTCTTGATTTGCAGCGGGGCGATCGCGGACTCCAGGTTTGGAGCGAAGACCGCATAGCTACAGGATACCAGACGGAGGGGATCTGGCCTGGTCAGCTCTTAGCTAGGCATTCGACCGAAACCGGAAATGTCGAACCCTTCACACCTTGGGAAGCTCTACCAGAGTATACACTCGGCTGTGCATCGCAGTTCGACACCCAGTGTCACCCTCTCTTCCCGCTTTGAGGCGGCCGTTGTGCGAGGGCGAATGGAATCATAAACGTTAATGCAGTGTTCGGACAGACTCTTGACTACTTCTTGTTTCTGTCAATTTCGAGTTCTTTCATGGCTAAATCAAGCTTAAACAGCGTTAATCTAGTAGAGAGCTACGCGAAAACGTGTACGGGACTTTCCTCCCCCCTCGTTACTTGTTACTTATTTGTGTTGTCTGCAGTGTGCACGACTGCATAATCTGGTGCGTATATCCGCTCGGAACTACCTCCTTCCTGCGAATACAGTTAGGTCAAATTACAGTTGCCACGTGGAAGTGGCATCTTGTAAGCTCGTCCACGTGGATGTGATTGAAGCAGAAAGGGGTTGGGGGAGGAAGCCGTTTCGAGAACTTATTTAGGTCTTTCGAAGTCACATTTTCTGAGCAGATTTGTTGATTAAGCTAAGAGGAACCGTATCAACATCAAAGATAAGCCGATTTCGCTAAGAGACTGCTTCAAAATATGATGCGCACATGTAAGAGGTCATCTAGTAGCAGAAAAGCAAAGACCTGAAACTAAAGTCTTGCAGTCATGGCTTATGATGTGACTCCTCACATGTATCACTCCTCTCGACAAATTTTTAAAAAAATTTTTTGTTTCATCTGCTGGTCATCAAACTCTCTTAAAGTCACAAACAAGAATGAAGGAATGCAAGCTTCGGCAATTGTCTCAGCGCTCGTCAAAAGAATCGCATCGGAACATAGCTGCTGAAGAGAAGAAAGAATTCCACATCGAATATTGCTTGCAATAGCTCATCATTCTTATTCCAAAGTTTTGCGAATTTCAAAAACAAAAAAAAACTTTTGCACTGACCTAGTACCATTCGGATCTGCTCGAAGTTCGACCCCCAGTTTTCCAAATCGAATAGAAGTATCGATGTAAAATTTCCAGTTTCAAATTCAATCAAAATTTATCTATCAATTAAATCGATTTTTTATTTTCAACAGCATTTTTATCACACAACATTTGACACCAAGTAATCTCCTCTGAGCTCCATTTTTACTGACTCAATACCAACAAGAGCGGTTGAAGTCAGTGGGCATCCATCGCCTTTACGTCTTATTGCACAAATGATTTAGCTCTCACAAGCGTCCAATGAATAGAGAGTTCATAGAAGTCATCCAAAAGATACAAACTTTTTGTGAAGTCAGGAACAAAAAGCATTGATAATTATCCTAACCAAACAGAGAGATGCTTCCGAATATAAAGTATTGCTACGTGCATATGAAAACTTATGAAGAAATAATCAGTCCGAGATAACCGACTCCGAGAATGAAAACTACATTATAGATATGCTTTTGAAGTCTTTGATAACTTTTCATGCTATCATCCGTTATTTTCTCAAGAAACTACAAAGTTGTTGTAAAGCTGACATGCGAGGAGAAAGGCTCGGCATAAGGTGGCTTTTTCAATTTTTCAAAAACGAAGTCCCCGTAGAGACTTCGCCACAAAAATACGACATCACTTATGATGCGACCATGAATGGATCAAAATGAAACGAAAAACAATGGAAAAACATTGAAACAACATTGAACAGACGAAAAAGAACTAAAAAATTTGTGTTCTCCGAATTGGCGGCATGCTGTGCCCGGCGCTCACCCTTGCGCGCTTGCCGCCGCCATACAAAATATCTGGAGAGCTGTAACTAGTCGAGGGAGAAGGGGTTTAGCGAGATTCAAAAATTCGATTGTAGGGTTTTAATGTAGAATAAGGTTATGTTAAACTTGTGGAAAAATTATGTGAAGGAAGAAAATTTATGCTTTTTCTTTTCACAGCCACCTCAGGTGGCTGGAAAGCCTAACTCCGAAAAAACTTTGCGCCTTCACTTCACATAATTTTTTTCGTAATTCCTCCCACTTAGTCTTAACTCCCTATTGCCCATCTACACACCAATTTTGGTGTCATTTCATTTTGTCTTCGCTGTAACGAGTCCAGCTTGCCCCGTAAGCCACCTATGCCGGGTCCTGATACCGACAGTCACTGAAGTGTGAAGTAAGAGGGGTGGGAACGAACGCCATATTCAATCTATTCTTTTCATAAGATCAATTCTTCGCAGCATTGTTGAAAGGAGAAGCTGCACAAATTCTAAAGCAATACCGTAATCTTTCTTTGCATGATGAATTTTCTGGAGATGATTCTGAACAATCCTTGGACAAATCTGCAGTTGCACAAGTCGCGGAGATTACCCGCTGTTGATTACAAGATAGTATGACGTCTGCTTGAACAACAGACATCTTATAAAATTTTCCCGTAAGGAGCTGAAAATTTCACTTGAGTATTGAGCTCGTGCAAAATTAAGCGTTCATCAGCCGAAAAGATACATTTAGGTTATTCCGGTAGCTTTATCATTTTCCACAATTCAAGTTGAATCCGCCATAGCTCTTTTACAAACGGTAATTAGCATAATAAGCTGATTCACAATCTTTGAACTAGGCAATTTCATTGTGATTGAGAATCAACGCCAGCTACATGAAAGAACTTCTGCTTCAGTGATTAACAGACACCTTTTGCAAAACAAACCTCTAATTTGTGAAGTTTAATAGTAGGATAAAACTTACCAGTTCATTAGTAGCCACTGTCGGTTGTGCAATGGTATTAATCTCTATAATAGTTAAACTCCTTTACAATTTTTGCAGAAAAATTCTCAAAAACACACATTTTTCGTTCTACTTGAAGTTGCAAAAAACTGCATTGAAAAACTATCATTTTCTGTAGCTCTAAGGACTACGATCTAGGTTCAAAGCCTTTTTGAAACTTATCTGCATTTCAGATAAATTTCAAAAAAGTTTTTGAAACTTATCTGATACGCATTATGTATATCACAAGCCCAGCTAACAGTGCACATGCTTTAACATAGATTCCGACTTTTGCCTGTGGATATTAGAAAAAAAGCAGAGGAAAAGAATTTCAATGTCGTGTTTTGTTGGATAGAATTGTCCTTTCAAGGTAAATAATAGGAAATTACATGGATCTACAAGAATCAGGAACTTACATATGAAACAGAGAATTCTTTTTACAGTTTACGTAAGCAGTGCTTACAAAAAATGACTTTTCCTCTCACGCATTGTAAGGAATAGCTACAAAACCGGAATCGAATTTTTGAAATAACTCAATGAAATTTTCAATAAGTATGATGACCGTGATTGCAGCATGTTCCTTGTGTGCCTTAATATCTGCGCAACTAACAGAAACGTGCATGTGGCTTGGGTACAAGTCATAAGGTTTTCAAAGCTCTTTACTGTTGCTTGGGATTTGACAGTGAAAGCTCGAGAAGTTGCGGCTTTATATGCGCTTTGGGTAGCAGGCCATGTGGACGATAGGATACTGATTTTTTCCTTTGGCCCATTCCATTGTCCATTCACCATTTACGCATTTGATAAATTTCCAATCACGTTTTACCGGCACTGCAAATGTTCGATTTTATACGAGGAAAATTCGACACTTGTTGCAATTCTAAGAAAATTCCGCATCCAGATTGCACCTGACTACTAAGCTAGCATGCCATAGTCGTTAACTTTATTCATAAAACGTTTTGAAGCTAACTCTAGTATTGTTTTGGTATAACACTTTACAATTGCTGATGTATTTCAGAACTGGCTGATAAAATCAAAAGATTCCTTAGAAGCTACGTCATCACAGCTAAATTATGTTCCACACTTGGTCATAAAGTGCGCAAATAATTAAAGAAGTTTGAACAGTCCATTACTTGACGTATCATCGAATTTTTATGCCGAAAGGCCATATAGGTACTGGAATACAATTTCCTACTTACTGGCAATTTTTGGATGCAAGTCATTTCGGTTCGCTTATCACGTGAGTCAGCCCGATCTTCAGCGCAGAATAGAATAAAAGAACGAGTAACGCTTTTCATAAGCTTGTCCAAAGCCTTTGGTTGAATGCATATGTGTAGCCATCAGAACACTCTACGTTGCGAAGCAATTTATACAATGTTTAGGTGAACTTACAATTTTCCATTTCCATATTATCGTCGAATATAAATTTCATGAAGTAGTCACCGGGACACTGTATGGTAGGCTTACAGTCTGGAGGGCCATATTTGATTGCCTGTGAAACTTCTATAAGGAATGATGCCAATATGCTTGAGACAACGAAAATCTTACATTGGGATCTTTATAACAATTTTCTTTAGAAGGACAAAGTTTGGTATCATACAGGTTGGTAGGGCATGGACAGCGTTTTTCACCTAAAGGTAAAAACACTGAATATTCATGCAACGGTATAGTATGGAGAAATTCGATCAAAATTCACACATTTCGTTACCAAAACTAAAACGGCAACTATAGTTTACTAAATTGTTCCAGTGCTAGAAATCAAATGTTTTTTTTTCAGTTTCAGGTGGAGCCAACTCTTTCTTTCTTACCTGTCGTACCCTGGAATAAAAGACCAAGGAAAAGAAGTCCAGCGTAAGCCTGGTTGAATGAAAGCATTTGCAGTCCCTATAAAAATATCCTTGAGATGACATTGTCCAGCAAAACTTATTTCAGCAAATGCTCGTTGCAACAATTTTGAGTATTCTATAGTTCTAACGAGAGTCTTTATGGATGTGGAGCTGAGAAACATCATGAATTGTTCCAAGCATAAGCTCTAATGAAAATGTTGTTTGCTTCCGTTTACGAGTAGAATGGCTCTATTCACTTCCGATAGGTGAAGCCCTATCTAGGGAATCCCATACACTTCAGCAGGCATAAGAAAAATTCAAACTTATACTACAGACAAGTATTTCATAACACTAACAGCATCGTTAGTACGGTCATTCTTGTTTCAAAGCAGAAAGAGGTAGCATATAAGCCGCTGATCCTCGTGTTCACTCGAAACGGATCATGGAGAATACCAACAAAGCACATACAAGGCAATTATATGTTTCTTTCGAAAAGCGAGTCTAGATTCAATTTCCTTTCACAACAAAAGATTTTGAGAAATATTATTCGAAAGAAGGTTCATTATCATATACCAACATATATTATGATATACCAACACGTTTGCTTTTATGTTGTAAATCAGATATAATTCTCCTTGCTTTAACATTTGCTTTTATGTTGTAGATCAGATATAGCGATTTCGTTTCTGAAACATAGAGAAATGTGATTTAATGTGAGAAAGATCAGCTTTTGATCAAGCAGACCGATTATCTTTTACAATCGACGCATTTAGCATCTGATTAGCATCGTATGCAAAGCTCATTTGTGTACACAGTAGTCTCGAACCTGATCCAGCAAAGAAAGAGAACGCGATTTTGACGTATCGAACACATATGGAGGATAGTTTTAACCGGAAACATTTTCCAATAAGTCTAAATTTAACTTCGACAGATGGGAAGAAGTTGTACAATTGGCCCTTACAGCCTACTGTCATCGACGGATTCACTAGGCGTGCTTGCAGCCATTCGTACCAATATTCTTTGGATGTACAAGCTCGCTAAAACAGAATAAAACTATTCCAACATATTGTTCAGTTCGCGATGGTGTCTAGGCATAATCCATACTCAAAAGCAAACTTAGATTATTGCCCGTCAGGGGAAAAACCACTAAGGTATTCAGAAACAGCGTGGAAAAAGAATCATGAATACTAATACTCCTAATTCGCACTAGATTCATGAAAAAGAGTGTGCACTCAAAAAAAAGAACTTCGGGAGTGGATAGCAAAGCCACCGATTTATTCAAAAAAAGCGTGATGAAAACCCCTAGAAGCCAGCTTTCACTTCAATCGGACATACATTATTGCTGAACCTTGAGATCGCGTTTTATATCTTGCTGGATCAACACAAAGCCTTCTGTCTGCAAGGGTCAGCCCTGCATACCATGTTAATTAGGTAATCAGTGCCTATCTGACAGCTCATGTGCTCTATACTATGTTGCCGCGAACCTTACGGATAGATGAGTTCCCTTTCCTAAGCGAACTATAGTTGAAACAAATGTTTGATTGTTTGTACAGTTTGCAATAACGATAGCTTTTTTGCCTCAGAAATAAAAAAAAAGCAAAATGAGATCAACATTAGTATTTCTGAGGTCAATTATCCTTTTCTGAACAATGAAGATGAAGTGCTAAGATAGGATAATAGTTTTTGGTACGAAGAATGTTGCAGTAACAGTATGGCCCGTAGTAAACTTCCAGTCATCTCAGGTAACTTGAGATTAATCATTTAGAAGAACTTCCTCGGGTGAACCTAATCCCACTCAGCTTCCCGTGCTTTAGCATAATCAGCTGAACGGTCAGATGTCTGTCCGGTCAAGTGTCACAGTCAGTTCACCAGAATGCCACTTATCCGAGGTTGAATTTTCGGGTGACCCGAGAGAGATAGTGTGCAAAAAAAGAGAATCAGAGAAATTTCCCGTACGTTGCTCGTGAGTAGCTCATGGGAAAATTCAATTGACGTACTACTGCGGTACAAAATTCCCAAAATTGCACAATTGTGGCGGTCTGAATGGAAAAGGATCAATGAACACCTGACTGCGGAGGAAAAAGAAAAAAAGCAGGATTTTTTTTAGGACCTACTTATGTTCACCTTTCAAAAACTGCTTTGAACAAGACTTCTTGATTTGTTTCGTTTGCTCTATGTTCCAACATTTTCGTTTTTTCATGACATCCTCGTTAGAAACATACGATAGTTTTGTTTTATCCATTTGTTTGCTTGGCGATATCCTTGATAGCGGTCGCCATCGATTTTTCTCGATAACGGCCACTATCAAAGATTGTCTTGCGGTGGCGCAAAAATGTGGCACTAGCCGGCTTTGGACCATGGGCTTTCGCATTAAACCCATTTACTTAACCGTTCGACCAAACCGCTCAAGTGGTTTAGTTTTTTGAGAACGCATAAGATCTCTAGGTCTAGAAAGCGATCCCAATCCGGATCGATGACTCACCGGATGCTGGACTGAGCCGTTCGATGTTCAAAGTAGGCCTCCCCCGAGTTGCGCTGAGAGGGGGTTTACTACGGGCCTACGTCTCGTTCCGCTACCGAAGTTTGGATTATATATCACACATCTTGCATTCAGATCACTGCAAAAGCCATAGCAAATGGCAAACTACAAGCTGTATGTCATTGCAGCAATCACCTATTTCACAAATTTCGCAAGGAAAATTCCCGCAACTTGTCGAGGACTCTCTATTATGAAAGAACTTCGCAGAATCATTGGCAATTTTCATTTTGGGCGCAGACAAACCAGCTGTAAGTGTTAAATAATGCTTGAGTTCTGCGTAAATGTTGTCAATGTTTTCCCATGTCAGAGCCTAGCCGGTGTCTGTTACCAACGGTATGGTACTTGCGGGAAGCTCGCAGCAGGTTTTGGCAAATACTGATGGTCTTGGATTAACTTGAAATTCCCCTCATAAAGGTTTTCGGATCCACTGTTTACGAAAATCCTAGTATTTTCGCAGTAAAGAGTTTTACAGTAAAGTTATACTGAGATAGATACCTCGCAAGGTAGCAAATTCGCCTCACATTTTGCCCATCTGTTGGAACTCGTTTGCATGTATCTCTAGTTTAAACACTCTGTAAGCAGCGCTATCGGATTACGCTTGAATCGGCCTCGCTCCGCACTGTTCGCCAGGTTATGAGCTTATAAACTTGCGTTCTCATGAATTTTGTCCAAAATTCAAAGTGTTTTTTTGGTGCAATCGTTTTCTCAGTAATATCATCTTATTTGTGTTCCACATGCACTTTTGATGAAATTCCGAAGAAATCCGCAGTCTTTGATTTTGCACAAAATTCTCGAAAACTCAAGTTTATAAGCTCATAACCTGGCGAACAGTGCGGAAAGAGGCCGGTTCAAGCATAGTCCGATAGCGCTGCTTACAGAGTGTCTAAACTAGAGATACACGCAAGCGAGTATCAACAGATGGGCAAAATGTGCAGGCGAATTTGCTACCTTGCAAGGTGTAATTACGTCTTTCTCAGTGTAATTTTGTAAAACTCTTTACTGCGAAAACGCTAAGATTTTCATAAACAGTGGGTCCGAAAACCTTCATGAGCGGAATTTCAGGTCAATCCAAGATCATCAGTATTTCAGCCAAAACCTGCTGCGAGCTCGAGAGCGAAGAGCGAGCAAATATCAAATGACCTGCGACTTCCTTGGAGATTTTATCCATAAAGGTTGTCCAACACGCTCATCACGAAAATCGCATTTGATTTGCATTCGCTATACCATCACGAAAATTGTCCGTCCACACAACAAATCGTGATCACTGTATACAGCTGGATCAGTTCTGTGCCTCAACATCACTTGATCCTTACAGGATGATATAATAACAGGAATCGAATGTTATTCTTTGAAAGCGCGAGAGCGATTTTGCAAACATATTCAAGTGTGAACTAAATCGTTTTCCGACAGTATCCCTGCTGTGCCATCTCCAACAGATGAATGTAACGTCAACTCACTTGTAACTCACAATCAGTATGCATACTGCATACCGCGTTTCGAATTGTAAGATTGAAAGCTATTGATTTCTTATTTTTCCCCACAGTCTACCCTCTTTTGGTTTGGTTGTATTGGGTGATAGTACACGCTTTCACAGTTTGTTCTATCAGGAAAGGTACAAGCGAGTTTTTGGTAAGGTTGGTCACTTGTCCCTCTCAGTGTGCGGGTACACAATACCTTGCGCATAATTATTGCAATCAACGCATCAAATATTTAGCCACTCTAAGCGAATTTTCAAACGAATCCATGCGAAGTGACTACTGTTCCTACACTATCCACACAAAGTGCCATCAACAACAAATGAATGTAAATGTTATCAGCCCATGAATAGTTCTTCCAACCGAAAATCTAATTTGTGACAATTAACGTATATCTACCGTATTCCGTGGATTGTGACACATCTATATACTGGAAGATGCCTTGCCTAGCTGAGTCGAATGGCACTCTTAGATATAGAATTCATAAACTTTGAATTGAGATAAGGGTATGCTGAAGAAGTCTGAAGAAGTTAAGCGCCCGCCGCCTAACTTTGTCGAATAACTGTGGCCGCCGCCTGAGTTAAGCGGCCGCCGCCAATTTTTTTAAACAAATTACGAGCGGTGTTGTACATATCAGGATTGATTACTAAGATAAAGTCAAGTACAGTAGTATGTAATACCTCTTCTTGCATCGCCGAATAATGCTGGCGTGAGAACTTCTTTTGTCAATTCTTTATTCCTGCTAAAAGATAAGATTATTTTAGTACCTTTTTGCTCAATGTTTTCCATGAAATTCGAGCGTACAAGAAATAATCGCTTATACAAAGAATAATCGCTTAGACAATGTGTCTCCTTAATTTTGTGTAGATGATGAGGAGTTTAAGTAATTCTTAGCTTTGATTGCTAGAAAACAATTATGAATTTGCAAAGCTTTCTAAGTAAGTAGCACACTGTTCTCTTCAATATATCTCACTTTGTCATTACAGCTTACTACTGACGTACCATGAAACGAGTCTAGTAAAGCTTTGCAACTCACGAATGTCATTCCTCTGGTAGAGGCCCGATTGAGGTTTTTCATCATCAAACTATTGAAAGCAGAAAATCTACACTTTCTGTTCTTGGGAGGTTTTGCTTCTTCACAAACATCAAAGAGTAAGTGTCTAAATTACCTCAAGTCTTTGAATCAAAAATGATACAGCGCACTGAAATCACTATAAAGAGCAGTAACATGTAACTGAGCTCCCCAATTTGGAAAATGCGCTTTGATATACCCCGTTCAAAACTTTTGTCATTGCGATATTTTTATCAATGAATACAGTTTAGTCTGATGGTCAATAGTGCCGCTGCAATGACGATCAAACATGTGCCCTTCAAATCAACTGGCTTGGCGGCTGGAAGGCGGGACTTTGTGACCTAATTACGGCTAGATGAGGATCAGAGAGCACGCACCTGACAAAGACGCAGATTGCGTCGCGGGCGCAAGCGGCCTCAATTAGGTCAGCCCGCCTTCCAGCCGTTAGGTTAGTTGAATCAAAGGTTGCATGGAAATTAGTCGTAGGAAGCAAGCATAAAAATATGTACTCTATGGGCATCAAAAGTGTTGCCAGGCGTATTAAGCTAGTCATAGGCTTTAGTACTTTTGTTGCCAGTGCTGCCACTCGGACATCTGCTACAAAAAAACATGCCAACGCGTTTTATCCCGTAACAGTTGCCCACCCAGGAGAGAACCTTCGGCAACTTGACTCCTCCACCACAGCAATAATTTTCGTACCAGTTTCGTCCGCACCAAGGAGGGCCCATGTTAACTGCCAATTCTACCAGGCTGCACAGCATTGATTCCACTTTCGCTGGAACACACAAATTGCAGAGACCATCATCTTATCGTACGAAGTATCTGGGCAAATCGGGCACATGGGAATACTACGTAAAAACTAATTTTGGGGCCCAACTAAGACACTAGCCAAACGGCAGCGCAAGTGGTTCACTCACGACCGAGAAATTCGCCCCTAAACTAGACCTTTACATCGCATTAAAGGCAGCGTCCAGGCAGTTCTAGACATCTGGGGATTTTATGTGGAAAGTAGTTTTAGGTCCTTAATTAGATTAAGATGCGCGAAAATGATGTGGAGAGACTACTGTTTATGCAGTAAATTCGAATGAAACCTTCTTCAATTGCAGGTTGTGCAGTTCATGCAAGTTTCGCAAAATTTCACTTCAAACTCTCCTAATTCCGCTAAAATCCTATTTAAGATGTGGTTAAAACCAGCAATCAGTAAGCCCCTGCAGTCTCAGAATTACCGTTCGGGAAGGGGGCAAAAAGTTTTTTGAGTGGAGCTGCCTAGCTAACGCCACGCAACCTGAATATTTTTTGAGATGCTTTCCAAAAATTTTGCGAGCCCGTGACCTCGCCCCACCCCCCACCCGCCTCCCCTCTCGGTCCGCCACTGCTACCTTATGCATATGCAATAGTGCCACTAGCGCCTAAGGTGTTCTACTGGAGACCAACAAACAAAAAAAAATCTTAACAAGCTTATCTTTGACAAAGTGTAACTTCTACTAAGAAAAAATGTTTGGTGAAAAGTGAGAAACTTCTACATCTCGTAGTCACGGCCAGTACTACAAGATTGTCATACAGAAATTTTCCAGGAGCTTTCGAAACAGAAAATATGCAAAATCGTTTTTTGGGTTTCCCTATGTGTTGTGACTTTTCCAAGACTCCAAAATTAGGATTTTTCGTTTGATTGCTATTAAATCTTAGGAGGTTCCACGCTAAGCAGTTCGTAACGGCTTCTCTCTCATTTGTAAGGCACATAGAGAAACTTCTACGTTTGCTCTTCTCAGAAATGTCTTGTGGGAAATCATCGAAACTTTCATATCTCTGCTCCAACGAATTGAAGAACGCCCTTGCTGTGGAGAAGCCCGCTCAGCATCTTGCTTCAGCTATGTCATCGTAAATCATTATCCTTGCCAAATGAGTTCATGCCGAAGCAATGCTTAAAGAAAATTTTTATTTCGAGGCTGCCCATGAGGACGCTTAAAAAGGCCAAACAATCGGAACTACAATTCAAGCGGAACATTTTGGAAGGACGAGAAGTGCTTTCAGCCAGTATGCGAAGCTAGTTGTAAGAAGCTAACAAGAGAACGGTTGCTTTGAAATGCACTTACAAACACCTGCATCAATTCAGACACCCTAATTTTTGCTGAATAATTTTTGTCACTGTTCCACGTTGCTTTTCCCATAGTAGAATATTGTGCCTTTATAGAAAACGCGACAAACATTCTGCACCATGGTACAGAATGAATTTGGAAGGTATGGAAGGAAAATTGAAAGTTAAATTAAATTATTAAATTATACAGGGTGTCCGTAAAGTATGTATACACTGTTTGATCGTTAATATCTTTCTTCCCAACAAGTCTTTTCCCTTGCTTCAGTTACCGTTTTGTAGAGCTGGCTTCAAACTTGAATTAACAGTATGAAGCGAATCACCGAACGCTCTCTATTACTGTAGGATTACGGTAGAAATCTGAAACATATGGTGTCAAAGTGGAAAAAGCTGCCGTCTCAAAATTTTTCAAAAATTGTAAAAACTTGTGTAATAGGGTTCTTATGGAAGCTGAGTTTAATACTCAACTATTCACAAGATTGCGAAGCTTTCTAAACGGTGTAACCGCACTTCTTGGAAACATTAAAAAATGGCCGCTACCTCTTACCCAGCATAACTCTTCAATGAAGCATCACAATAAGTTGGCAACTCTACATTTAGAATCAACAACTCTGACTAGCCTAGTGTAAAAGCTTTCAGGTTGTTTTGTTCCCTTTCTGTGGCAAAATATGGCCTTTCATGGCTCGAAACCCTCTTTGAAGTTTCTACCGTATACCTACAGTAATGAAGAGGGATGGGTGATTCATTCTATACTGCAAATCTAAGTTGAAGCCAACTCTACAAGACGGTACCTGAAGCAAGGCAAAAGACTTGTTGGAAAGAAAGATGTTAACCATCAAACAGTGTATACATACTTTACGGACACCCTGTATTTGTATTTATATAAAATGTAAAATTCCATGCCTTCCTTTTGCCTTCTTATTTGCCTTCACCTTAATCACGTGTAAAGCTACGCTTTTTCACCCCATTCGTAAAATCTCTGATTGTCAAACTAAACTCATTTGCATACCGTCGTGTCGAAGAAGTCACGCTCTTTCGAATAAGCCTACCCTGCGGAGAGTAACAGCCGACCGAGCTACAAGCCTGCAAAGTAGTGCAAGTGAGTGGTGCGATGCAGGTGAAGTCATGTGCACGCACTGTTAAAAGCCATTTTCAGAAAGAAACTTACTAGCACACATCCGATGCATAAAAGATGGCAAGGTATTATCGGTTTCCAGATTCGTGTGGAGGTGGAGTCTTGCCAACTCACCGCGTGGCGGTTTTTGCTAGCGAGAGAGTACGAAAAGCAACGCTATGACGTGGAGGTTTAACAAATTTACCTCGATTATCAGGCAAAGTCTGCAATACACCTCCACACAAATCTGGAAACCGGTCATACATTCATTTTATCCGGACAGTTTTGTTGGGATGTCTTGAAGTGGTTTTCATGTGAAGAAGTTTGATTTGAAAAAGGGAATTACAAGTTATTTTTTTAAAAGAGCAAAATATAATTCAAGCTTAAGTTTTTTTGGAAGTAACCATTATCTGATTCTTGTCGTCGATGAGCTCTATAATATAGTATGCTTAACTGCCCGAAAAACTTTGTTTTTGCTTCAAAAAAGACCTAAAAGAAAATTCTCGCGTCCGAAGAATCATTGTCCGCGACATTGTGACGCGGCCGTTTTTGAACTTTTTAGAAAAATTTTTTAAAATTTTTAAAAACACATATTTTCTGAAGAAGACTATGTGTAATTTGTAGCTCTTGAAGAGTTCTATCACATCATGCCGAACGATCATTTTTTTCACCTTTGTTTTGCATCCAAAAATGAGCGGTGAAAAAAGGATGGCGACTTCTCCGCAACTTCATGACGGTCACTGTACGATCAACTTCCAGAAAATAGGATATTACAACCAAAAAGGACCAAATCATGGTATTCGATAATTGACCTGCGCCCATTTTGATTTTTTTTTTGATGTGTCACACTCGTCTAGGGAGTTTTGAAAGAAATGTCGTCAAGTAGGGAGTGATTAAGAGTTCGGCGTAGTGAAGTCATTCGCTTACTCCATTTAAACGTTGATTTCTTGTCTCTGTTTGCGGAATACACCGAAGAAAAACAGCGCACATGATGTATTCCTTCCCTTCATATTTCTAAAATCCTAAAAGTCGCAAACTTCTTGCTCTGTAGAATTCTAAAAATCTAGGTGGAGAAACTTCGTATCAATTTCTTGTCTACGACGTGTAGTGAAGTCAATCGCTCACTTCATTTTCACGTTGATTTCTTTTCTCTGTCTGCGGAATACGCTGAAGAAAAACAGCGCACAATAACGTTTCCTTTCCTTCATACTTTCTGAAATCCTAAAAGTCGCAAACCTCTTGCTCTGTAGAATTCTAAAAATCTAGGTGGGAAACCTCAATAACACCAAATTCTCGTCAGACAGCAGAATCCTCACTTAGGCTTCGAACTTGCTACCATTACTCTAACTATTTGGTTCGAAAGTTCTCGGACATTCTCCGAGATCTGCTTTTTTCTCAAAACATAATGCAAGTATGTACATCCGATAGAAACACTATTCGATAGAGCAAAGCAAGCCCTACAGGATGGTATGCAGAAGTTCGACCAGCTTCGACCCACCGTAACATTGCATCTAGAATTTGAGTCGCCCTGAAAGTTCGAAAAATTGAAAACAATTCACATCTTCTTTCAAAAAAATCCTACAGATCTCCAAGTTGCTCAAACAAATTGCACACCAGATCAGACACTCATATGTATATACCGTTCCTGTATATTTTCCTTAACTAGAACATAAAACATTCGCAAAGTATGATCACACATTAGTAACCATCAATCCAATAACCATAGCGCTGACAGGATCGAGGCTCAGTCCCGTAGTAAACTTCCTTAATGAAAACTGCCCTGAGACGGACCTGAGTTAATCGCATGGCGCCTCGGTCTAGCATCTCGCGAGCTATTGATCTAGATGCGGATCGCTTTTCAGGCACAAAAATCTTGCGCGCTATCAAAGAGGAAACACCTACACCTCTTGTGCTTCTTGCGCATCACTGAGCAATCTTTGATAGCGGCCACTATCGAAGAGAATCGATGACGGCCACTATCAAGGAATTCACAAACCAAATGAATGCACAAAACAAAACTGGGTTTTTAACCAAAATTTCGTCAAAAATTGAGGAACTAGGACAAAATCGAATGGAAATAAATAAAGAGATTGTTGCTCTGTGTAGCTTTTGTAGAAAAAATCAAGCAAACACTGCAAAAAGGAAAAAACCTATTCTTCTGTTTTTTGCCGAAATCAGTTCATTGTCCTTTCCTTTTTGGGCACCGGTATTGTGGCAGTTTTGCGCGTTCTTGTACTGCAACAATACGTCAAGTACGATGTCCCGTAAGTTACTCACGAGCAACTTACGAAATTTTTCTCTGCGTCTCATCCCTTGCACACTTACTTACTTAGATACTTATCGTTAGATGGCCTCACGTGGCGTGCAGGCCCTAGTACAGAAGTTGCCATTTTTCCCTGTCCCTCGCTTCAGACATCCACGATCTTCTTGGCCGTCGTCGGTGGTTGCGTTCACGAGTTCCAGGAACGAAAGTCGTATCCAGCTGATTTCTCAGCTGGTCCATCCGTTCCACGAACAAGTCT